GTCAGGGTGCCGGACATCGCACTTTGAATTCTGGCTCTGCCTCTGAGTGGCCATTTGACCTCGGCAGCAGCTCCAATGTTCTGGTTTAGCATCAATACCGCAAGGATCCAAAAACGTGGCCACCAGGACTATTGCAAGAATGAGGAACTAAAGAAGTGCCTGGCACCTGGCAGATATCCCATCCTGGTCGCATGCATTCTAGCTATTTTTACAATCGGGCTGGGTTTCAAATTTCATGTCCAAGTTCAGTTGCAAGGTTAAAAAGTATCTTTTTTTTTTTTTCCTCATGAAGAAAACGTTTTAAGCTTTAGTTTGTTTCCCGAGCAAGCACAGAGCAGTTTACTTAACCCTGTCTGTAAAAGACCTTTCGTACTAAAGCCTTAGGCTGAATTCTGGGACCAGGAAGCAGCCACTTTAAACAATGGGGCTCAAGAAGTAGAAAAGAATGAAAAGTTTTCCTATCCTTTATCTCAGCCTAAACAGTATGCTAGTTTAAAAAAATGTATAAAAGTTAAACATTTACTTTTTAAAGAATTTGAAAATTCTAGTACTTTGTATAAGAAAAAAAAATCTGTTTCTGTCCTTCGACATCATGCCAGTTTTTTCTCTTTGTTGTCATTTTTAACAAAATGGGAATCACACTGTGCAGCATTTTTCGCTTGACAGGTTATCACTAACATTCTTGGCATTATGCTTTTTAATGATTGCATTATATTCCATATTACTGAATACATAGTATCTGATGTAGCCAACCTACTCTTACTGGAAATATTTGGGAGCTGTGAATTTTTATATTATAAATTATATTACATTATATGTATTATAGTATATGTATTATATGTATATATATATTATAAATTTAAATTATAAATCATGATATCACAAACTCCCTTTACCATAAACCTTGACTGCAGCTCTGTTACTGTTTTAGGATTCAATCTTCAGAATAAAAATTATGGAGGTAGTTTTAAGGGTTTAGATGTTTATTGGTATATTCCCTTCCAGCACGAACGTACAAAACTTTGAAATTGCCTGGTTCCCTCTGGATCCACGAACATGGAGTATAATTGGGTTTTATTCTTTGCTGGTCTGGGGAAGCCAAATATTATTTCACATCACATTAAAGTTCAGGAGTTTTATGTGTGTCCTCACCCAACAATCTTCCCAGAACCCAAGTCTCACCTTTTAAGCCTCAGCTTTTAAATCACATGAGGGCTGAGCACCCCAACGTGGGCCTAAATATCTTGCTCTTTGACCCCAAAAGGCTTTTCCCCATCAAAGTAATGCTTTCCTGTTCCCTCTCGTTGAAAACTTCTATTTTTTTCAGAACTAATTATCTCGGAGAGATTTTTGGAGGAAAGCAACCTGATAGAATTGATTTTGCCTAGTTTGTGAATAATGAATAGCACTTAAACCTGTACCTTTAAAAGAGCCACCTTAAAAACTAAACTTTGAAGAATCTCCAGGGGTGTTATTTTGGGTCCATTAACAGAATGAAGGGGAAAGAGAGGCCAGGCAGAAGCCGGGTTTTAGAGGGCAACCTGCGGCCCCTTGGCTTGCCTGGAATCTATGTCCGGATTGGCCAGCTCCTCTGAGCTGTCCTGTTTTCCCTAACTGCTTTCCCTCCTCCCCCGAAACCTCCCGTGGAGTAGTTCCCGCCCCAGGCCACACAACTGAGTCTCTGGGGATCTTTGATGCCCCAAGACCTGGGGCCGCCCCCAGAAGTCTGCTTTAATTAACGGGGCATGGGGCCCAGGGACCTGCCTTTTCCGAAGCTCCCCAGGTGATCTCTGTGTGGTCAGAGTCCAGAACTCCTGTTCTAATGATTCTTTTCTACAAGCTGAGACTTCACACAGGCTCCCCGTGCAGGGACCAGGGACCTTGTGGAAGAGATCAAAAGCTATCAGATCCAAAGGAAAGAAAGCAGACTGAAAAGGGAAAAAGAAGGGAAAAAGAAAACAAACAACCCAGCAAGCAAACCCTTACTAGGGGATGATTTTCAAGACAGAAACGTGGATTCTGACGTGGGAAGGGGATGGGACCCCCAAGTCAGGACACTCCAGCTCCCACCCCCATCTCCCACCCCCTGTAACCGAGCAGACCTCTTCCCCAGGCCGGTGTAGCTTGCCCGATGCCTCGATGGTGTGTCTAATGGACATCATGCTCCCTTTGGCCTCCATGTGTTCCTTCTTCCCTGTGGATACCTAGCTAGGCTCTTAGGGGCTAGTTTTTCACCCTCTGTGTTGAACTAGTTCCTGACTCCCTTCCAGCTTCTTCTATAGTTTATCTGCAAAGGCAGTCTCATTTGTTATGCAGACATATTTAAATTGGTATGCAAATGAAGGCAAAAGGACCGGAGACCTACAGCTGGCTGTGTCCCCCAGTGCCCCTGGCAGAAGTCAAATGTTTATCATCAGGAAACACCTGACAAGAGTTTCTACCTCATTAGCAGAATCCCTGTCGTTGGGCCCCAAACCCTGCCCTTTGGGAGGAAGTGGGGCCTCCAGGCTGAGCGGCCCCCGGTCTCCCTCTCCAGCCCAATCAGATGTTCAGGGCTGCTGCAAACACTGGCTGTGAGGAGCTGGCTGCAAAGGTGGGAGGGGCCCTTGCATCTGGGCTGTTCTGAACAGATGGGGCAGGCTGCCCCACTGCAAGGCAGGTTTGCACCTTCCCGGGGCAGGCTCTCCAGCACCTGAGGGCTCAGTTCTGAGAAGTCTGCAGAAGCTGCTCTGATTTTGCAAGCTTCCCTCCCTCCCGGGAGGGGTTTCTGGGCACTGCCGCAGGCAGGCAGCGCTCCCAAATCTGAGCTCCTTACCTCCGGAAATAGCTCTTAATCCAGCCCTCAGTCTTCATTCTCACTGCACCTCATCACCCTGTCCCCTGGGGTCTGTGCAAGTAAGATGCACCCTGGGTTCTGCTGGGAGCCTTGACTCCCCCCGGGTCCCTTACGCAACACCAGCACCTTGGCATGTGCACCTCCCGCCTGCTGCTCCCCCACCAAGATCCCTCGTGGACTTTAGACCCTAAAGAAGCAATTTACGTTCCTCACTGCCTATTACATCATCCAGGGGGCTTTTTAAAAAGGCAGATGCTAGGGACCGATCCCCAGAGATTCTAATCCAATGGGCTCACGCCGTCGAAAGTCCTGTGTCCAAGGACACTGTGGAAACGCTGTGCTTAGCCTGGTATGCGAGGCCCCTGGGTGACCAGACCCCCTAGCCACCTGCCTCCGGCTTCTCACCCCAGACCTTTGCTTCTCTGTACGGGCTCCCTGTTCCCTGGAATTCTTGATAATCAGGGCACACCTCCTCAGTCTTAAGCTTCCCTAAATTGTCACCGCCTCGCCTGTGGAAGACTTTTCCAGATCCTTGTCTGATTCCACATAAGGAATCTTCTCTTCTCTGTCCTCACATCACTGCTTCACCCAGATTTGCAAGTGGGATTGTTGTTTGCTGGCTTCTCTGTCTAAGCCTGAAATTCTCAGAAGATAGTGTTTTGATCTGCTTTGCGTACGTCTCTTGCGTGTGATAGGCAAGACCTCGGGATAGAGCGCACACCGTGTTCACACCCACACTCCCAAGCACAGGGAGGCCTTTGTCATTGCTGTTCTGGCCGTTTGTTCTGGGTAACACTGCTGTCTCCTTGAGATGCGCCGCGTACTGTGCTGCAGGCGCCGCTCTGTTAACTGGTGTAATTCTCACCATAGCCTGTGAGTGTGACCATTCTCCCCATTTTGCAGGGGAGGAAACTGAGTCAAGAATCAAAGGAAGGTACCTCGACACATAGCAGAGCAGAGTGAATGTCTGCTGGGTGAAGAAATGCATGGCTCTCTGTACTCTTGGTACAAACCAGTCTTTGTGACCCGACTGGTTGATACAACCACGTTTCCTTCAGCAAGCACTTTGCACAGACCGAGCCTTGATCAATGATAAACATTTTGTAGGAAATAGTTGAAACCCTCATGACTTATTCCCAATGCACTTCCCTTAACAAGGTAGGTCAGCCGGGTAGTGGGCACCGAAGACATCTGGGGCCAAAGAACAAGAGAGAAATTAGCTTTTCATAAACACCCACTACACCCCGAACTGCCCCGGGGAACTTCCTGCCTCATCTCAGTTGATCCCTTTAGCAATGACACAGTGAGAACGACAGTATTTACAGATGATGCAATCAGAGCTCAGCGCAGGGGGGTAACTCAGCTAAGGGAAAAGGTTGGGACCGAGCCAGTCTGTCACCTCCCTCCAACAGGAGACGCCTCTGCCTAACATGTCCTTGGAATCTAGCTTTCCTCATCTACGTTCGCTTTTACAAATAGCTTATTTTTTTGCTAAAAAAGAAATAGAAGCCACGTGGAGACAAATGGGAGAACACTAAAATTGCTGACAACCTCACCACTCAGAGATTAAAAACCCCTGGGAACAAAGATCTTGCAATAACCTATAATGGAAAAGAATCTGAAAAATAATAACTATATATGTATGTATAACTGAGCCACTTTGCTGTACACCAGAAACCAACAAAACCTTGTAAATCAACTATACTTCAATAAAATAAAACTCTAAGAAAAAGTACGTTTTTAAAAGATGTATCAAAATTTAAAGCAATAATACCATTTAGCAGAATATTAAAGAAACCACTGGGAACCTTTTGAATTTTCTTTTAGCTTTTTACTCTGCATGCATATATCAACCAATCAATTAATGTTTTATGTACCTTTGTTTGTAGTGTGCAAACCAACTTGCATTTTGCCCTTTGGTTTTTAAACCAAACATGCCTGAAGTTGTTCAGCCACTTTTTAGAAAGAAAATAATAGAGTTAAGTGGTAAGAAGAAAAAGAGAGGTGACTGCTGGGAAGCGGCTGGGGGGCTGGTTTAAGCACAGAGAAGGGAGGGGCCCGTCTGACGATGCACGTGGACCACGCAGGCAAGGAGGCAGCCCACTCCCCACACACCTGCCCGAATCAGTCACCCCTACGCTTGTCCATCCTGGTTCTGTTGCAGGCAGCAACCTGAATGATGGCCTGTGGCACTCAGTTAGCATCACTGCCAGGAGGAACCGCATCACTCTCACTCTGGATAATGATGCCACCTCCCCGGCTCAGGACACCACCCGGATGCAGATTTATTCTGGAAACCGCTACTACTTTGGAGGTAAACTTCTCCAGCTTTTGAGGTTGACAATAAGGGAGGAAGGGAGGGAGGGAGGGAGGATGCGTGGACAATGATTTCACTGGGACGATTCTTTCTTTGTCAAATAGACCCTTCTCCCAGCACACACATACCGCACACACCACATACACCACACACACACAGACCTACCCTCACAGCCCAAAATAATGAGAAGCAAACTTTCTCACAGCTGCACAAATATAAATTATCTAGGTCAGTGCTGAGGGAAAAAAATAACTCTAGCTGTAAGAGCCAGTGTTACATAACACGCCCGAAGGAGATTTCTGTAGCCGTGCCAAACTCTGTGATCACATTCCAAAGGGGAAACTTAGCTGAAAACTTGGAGAAAGGGTCCCAACAGTCAGCAGTACCTGCGAGAGAAAAAAAAACATCCAGGTAGGAAGACGCAACCAGCATCCTCCACTTTCTCGTTCATATCTCTGCAGGTTTGCTTTCTTAATCCCCTGTGCTTGCGTTCCCCACGTCCCTGGAGGCCGTGCCTGTGGAGTGGGGCAGCTAAGACTGGGGAGGACCCAGAAGGCCCATGAACTTGTCAGTCCACAGAGAGCAGCCAGTACAGATCCTACCCCTACAAAGACGCAAGGGCAAGCTGGTATGGATGGAAATATAGGATTAGGGCGTTTGCATCATTTTTTACAATTGTGTGTCTACTTTTATTTAGTTTTTTAAAGGCTGTTTTTCACTAAAAATATCAATATCTGATGACTTAGTTGTTTGCATTATAGAAGCAATCTCTAGAGGGTAATTACTCTCAGTAGCTGTCTGACCTTGAACAAGACACTCAAGGTCCCTGAAGGTCCTTATCAGGGATGTGGGGAAACAAAGCAGAGTTGCTGGGAGAGGTCAGTGTGATCAGGGTTTCAAGGTATAGTGTGGTGCTTTCTATCTGAGAATGCACGGACTGGCTTCAACTGTTGTAAATATGGAGCATCAGCTGGGCCTGGTCCACCGTGGCCCATCCTTTTTCCGTTAGGAAACAGAAGAGAGGTGTCCTGTAAAATTACCAAGTACAGTCTCTTAAGTAGAATTCGCAAATCACCTCTCTCCTACCCACACCATGCAGTTAAGCTTTGAAATACAAAAGGGACTTTGCACCAATGCAGGAGGAAAGCCATGTGGAGCTATACCTTTGTGGTTTGATTTTATGGCCTCAGGATGAGCCTCTGTCCTTCACTTCAAATCTTCTCAATGGGTGCCTGGATAATCAGTTCCTTGCCGAAGGGAACACTTCCATTCTCTGTAAATGTTTTCTGTGTCTTACATCATTTAAGTCACGCAGTAACTTTATGAGGTGGGGGCCATCAGTCCTATCTTGCAGATAATAAGACTGGTGTTTACAGACATGAAATAATTTGTGTGAGTAGTAGAACCAGGATTCGCCCCCAAATCTCTGTTCTCCATGTTGGCAAAAGGGACATAACCACTATAGGAGAAAGGTCCTGGAGACCCCAAAATACAGAGCTCACAGACTGCTTAATTTTGCATCACACGCAATGATGCAAAGAGAGAGAGAAGCAATCTTCTGTTTATTTCTGGGGAAAATGACGTTGAATTAATAATATTACTTAAGCATCTAAAGTGCCTCAAAGCCAGAGTGGCTCCCCTGCCCCCGTCTGAAGAAGGGTTTTTGGAGGTGGGTTTTCAGGGGCTCCAGGCAGAGGAGGGAAGATTTATCTGTGGCTTGAAGAGTGTTTAAACAAATGCCCCACATGTAGACTGTAAACTTAAGGAAGGTGAAAAATGAGTTTGAGTAATAATAGTCAACTTACATAAATTTCCTCTCCAGCTTCAATTAGAAGATGCAGCATCTCTTCATTTTATAGTGTTGCTGTGAGCTGTTAGCCAGCTGCCGGGCTCCATCCCGGCACTGACTGTCTATTAGAGATGGTGGAAATAATTTCCAGTTATTTATGGGTTATTGCCATGTTTTCAAGCTTGCATTCCCATATGCTCTGAACCTATTAAAACCACTGGGATGGAGTTTATTATAAAGATCACAAGCACCTAGACACGCCTTGCTCTTCACCTGTCTTAATGAGAGGTAGGTGTGCCCCGGTTGCAAGGGATGCTAAATCCGACTGATGTATATTTTTAAAAGAACACCCTTTAAAAGGGTATGGTGTTAACCTTTCATGTATGTGATTACAGCTCTGTAACTCTGCGTTTAAACCCTGAGTTCCTCTGTCATCTGGATTTGCTTTGCCATTGCTTCAGAATTCTAGTTACGTTCCTAGGTGTCCCTTTCTCGGGAACCAAGCCTGTTCATGCTGACAATTAACCAGACAATCACTCCGCCACCATTCTTACTCAAAGCATAATTTTCTTTGAAAGTGTAATTCAGGATCAAGTTGTGCATTCATAAATATGTTTCCAGGGGGAGGGGATGGCTCAAAGAGCTAGAGCGCGTGCTTAGCATGCATGAGGTCCTGGGTTCGATCCCCAGTGCCTCCTCTAAAAATAAATAAGTAAACCTAATTACTGCCTCCCCCACCAAAAAAAAAAAAATATCGCTTAAAAAGAATTTTAAAAAGGTATTTCCAGACAGAACGGAAATTCCCAAGTAGTTATGACATGTTGCCTCCTTGGAACGAGTGAAGTACACCACGCAGAAAATTGGCAAATTGCTTACAAATAGGGAAAAAGAAATAAGTTGGAGACAAATGGGATATTCGTGGTATTTCCTTGAATACATTGTGTTTTCTGTTCTAGAGAGTGATGGAGTATGCCCCACTGTGTACCGGTGTTGTCCCCTCTCTGAGAAGGCTAAATTTTACAAAATGTGTGTACTGCTGTGAATGCAAAAAACACCCAAATAATTAGACCTCAAGGTCTTCCATCAGTAGGTCGCTGAAGCAATGACTGATCATTTCAGGATTCTTCTTCATGTTTTTCTCTGTCCCGCAGGGTGCCCTGACAATCTCACCGATTCCCAATGTTTAAACCCCATTAAGGCTTTCCAAGGCTGCATGAGGCTCATCTTTATCGATAACCAACCCAAGGACCTCATTCCAGTTCAGCAAGGTTCCCTGGGGAATTTTAGTGATTTACACATTGATCTGTGTAGCATCAAAGACAGGTAATTATTGTCTCTTCTCCTCTGTCCTCCCTGCCCCCCACCCCCATTCTCACTGTTTTCAATATGAGTTTCTTTAACCAGAATTCGAATCCACTGACATCAGCCACAGGAGACATAATTGAGTCGCCTAATGGAAAAATCTCTCTAAAAGGATTTCAGGCCCAGAGAAAAATGGTTTAAATTAGTTGAGTCTCTCTTCATGTTGACTCGCGGTAAATGGGATATGCAAATTAAATCAAAATACAAATTTGTGAAAGGATTAAAATTTTATGCGTAAACAACATTTGATTACTTTGAAGTTAAGAGGAAGGCAGAAAGGGGGGAGGAGTAAGTTCTCTCCACTTCTTTCCTTACTGCAATGAGGGGCTTCCCTAATGGATGGATGGATGGATGCCGGGCCCCCTGGGAGGGACTCCTTTAACAGAGGTTTTGGCTGAGCTCATAGCACACGGTGACTCGGGGGGGATCATCTTTGCTGTCACCACCCCTAAGTCACTGTGTCTCTGGGTGGCGGAGACCAGGCCCTGGACAGCCAGCCAGCACTTTCATTCTGCATCCTACAAATCTAGCCCGAGGTCACTTTCTCTCTTTGTTTCTCCTGGGCGCTGGCTTCTCTTAATATTTGCAATTTCTAGCTTCAAAGCAATTTAAAGAGGATGGATTCTGAATTTTCAGCAAGGTTTATCTCGTCCCCTGTGTTTGTTCTCTAGCACCTGACTTCTTTCATTCTTCAGATTCCACTTACCTTGGTCAAAACACCATGTGTTGAGTGGGTGAAGACAACGTGTTAAGTGCTTGTCTGTGTGTTGGTGATGTCAAGTCTCTGCTCCTGTTTCGTCAGGGAGCAAATTAGCCATCACCATCACATGCTGCAAATGACCAGGAAGTGCACTCCTGTTTGTGGGACCTGTGACAGCTGCAACTTAGTGTGGCCTTGGGGACATGAAGTCAGGAAGGTTTTCAGGAAGTGATGTTGAGCTGAATCTTAAAGGACAGGTAGACTTGGCTGAGGAGTGGGGGTGTCGGTGGAGAAACAGGTGGCTGGGTGTGGATGGGATATAGCTTGCATTTTATCAACTCAAGAAACTTCCTTTTCATTTAAAAATCTCTACTATTGGGGTTCATTTTACCATGGATGGTGTAGAATAGTTTAATTGGCTGTATTTCATTTTCTTAGGAGCCTATAAAATAACGGCATGTCTTACTATGAGTGGTGTCTTCGATTCAGTAAAATGTACCTCAGTGGGAATGGTAGGTCATGGTGGTTGAGCACATGATGGGAGTATGGCTAGGCAGGTGGGTTGGTACCAATTACGAGGACTTCCGTCTGCTGCAGAATTTAGCATCACGCTCTAGGAGGCATCAGGAAGGAAGGTTGTCAGGTTTGTGTAGGGAAACGAGTGCTCAGGAAAAGTGACAAGCATGGATTTGGCAAAGAAACCAACCTGGAGGTAGAGAGGTGACTGCCCCAGTCCAGGAGGGCCATGATGAGAAGTGACAGGTGTTTCTGAGCATCCCAGGAATCCCCTGTGCAGTCCACCATCTCTCCTGTGTGGAATGCTGGGTACCATTTGGTGGAACATTATGTCCATGTTTCTCTATTAATACCACCACCCCTGGGATCTTTAGCAAATCACACAGACTTCCAGACTCTTCTGCTCCATATCTTTTTCTGTTTGACCAGCTGGAAAAGTGGGTAATAAACTGTACGCTTCATTAGAATGTGCTAGTTTAGAGACCTCAGAATAAAAGATGCTGTGTGGAGTGGCTGTCATCCTCTAGGCTTTATTAATGACGTGGGGGAAGCATCTGACTTCACCAGCCTGGACGGCCTTTTGCAAAGTGTACATCAATTCAGGGAACATGTATCAATAGGGATCTCTTATGAGAACTTAATTTCTAATCGAGGAAGTGCTCATTATTTCTGATTACATGGAAGCCACTGCCATCTACACTGCATCATTACTTTTGTGTAATTGTAGTCTGTATAATTGCATTACATACAATTGTGTTTTGGTTAATTATATAATCGGGGATTGTGTTTAGTTTAGTGGGGAAATGGGACATTTTTCTTGATTTACCAGACAGTGTCTGTAACATAAGGGAAACTGGTAAAAAAAAAAAAGCTGTGCTTAATTAATTATTTCTTGAACTTATATGTAACATTTGGTGGAGGGGAGGCAGGGGTTAGAAAAGCAAGTGGCTTCTGAGTTTCGTATGTTATTTTGAATGTGTTCATCAAGGCGAATGTGATTTGAGGGCATGTGCAAAGTTTTGCCTTCAAGGAGCTGGCCATTGGGATGGGGATGGGGTGCGGTAGGCTATGTTGGGGTAGGAATAGTCTGGCTGTGATTTCGTCTCCTTTTGCTCCTGTCTGGAAAGTTCAGACTTTGATCTGGCTTGACTGCCTCTCCTCCTCTAGACCGCACCTTCCTCTTGGGTTATAGAGAGCCAGGCATCCTTCCCTGACCACCCCACCACGCCCTCTCCTCCCTCAGAGGGAGCGGACCTGTCTGCGCAGAAGAAACCAGTCCTTTCAGGATACTGCTATTTTTTTTTGAACTATTTTGGTGGGGAAGAAAGTAATTAGGTTTATTTATGTATTTATATTTAGAGGAGGTACTGGGGATTGAACTCAGGACCTTGTGCATGCTAAGCATGCGCTCTACCACTTGAGCTATACCCTCCCCTCCAGTCCTTTCAGTGTCCTTTCTTTGCTGGCCCCAATGGGCCTCTTCCGCTGTGGGAAGACCTCAGTGAAAACTGAGGTGGTATTCACAGAAGAGGCACACAGCTGTCAAAAAATCTCGAGTTCCCTCCAGGGGCGTCCTTCAAGCAGGTTCCCTTTGAGATGATGCAAGTTCACTCATCAACCTGGAGACAAGTCTTGGGTCACAGCTGGGAGGGTTCCTTCTCAGGGACTAAAGGATTTAAACTAACAGTATTCATCTCAAGGATGAGCAAATTGCTGAATCTTCTGGCCTCAGGAAGGACAGGATGTGGAAGAGCTGGGCTGGTCCACAGCTCTGGCAGCAGAGACAGTTCTGGCTTTAGGAGGCTTTGTCAAGGGACCTGCCCAGTGACTGACGACCCAAGGACAGGCTGGGAGAAGGAGGTAGTGCGCTCTTGTGGGAGTCACAGCTGGGACCCAACAGACCCCAGGCACTTTCAGTAGTCTTTCGAAACCTCTAGAATATGATGTGCAGCCGTGATCCGT